TTTCGTAAACATCCTTATACGTTCAAGCTTTCCATAATGGTGAATGAATTTCATGGTACTTAAATCGCATTTTCATTAAGAAATAGTATCTTTCCTTTCAAATCCTCTCCACTTCAATCAGCATCTATTACCGGTCACGTACCATCATATATTTGGCCTTCATTTTCATATTTTTCTTCGTAGATCTTTGATACGTACATGAACGTGACAAAATTTGCATGAACGTGCAGCAAATCCTAGATTTTGCAGGCATCTTCTTTGACTTTTATTGCTAGTCTACGTGCCAGCATTTAATTATAGATTCATTTATTAAAACACAAGGTATTATTTTTAATATGAATTTTTAAAGTCGCTGTTAAAATTGTAATATTATGACTAAAGTGCATATAACAGCTCTGGAAATTAATAAAGTAAATTCGATAAATCATTTTTGTAGTCCTAAATTTACTTACTTTAAATTTACCTAAATTTACTTTTTACCTAAATTTACTTACTTATACTCCTAAATTTACTTTACATCTCTTACTTTCAAATTTACTTACATCAGGAACTTTATTTTAAATAAATAGTTTATTTTATGCCCAAATAAAACGTACTTCCTAAGTCGGTGAAACATTGTATTCCTTTAAAAATAATGTTAATATTTTTGATTAATTTAAAATTCGTGCGTAAAGAGATTAAAATCCTGTCTGACTTCTGTTACATTGCTCTTGCAATTATACTGCTATATTATCACTAATTAAATATTTGTTCATTTACGTACTTCGAGAATAATTAATACATAATCAACCACTAAACTGTAACGGATAAAATATATTTCATACTCAGTTTCAAATAATAATATCTGCATAAAATTCTTAAAATATGTTGTTTAAAACCATTTCTGGTACTATTCCGCTTTGAGGACCGTAAAAAATTGCAGCGAAACTGTATGCGCAAAAGCGCCAAATTTATTTCAAAGAAAAGGCATCATTCATTATAGAAAATTATGTTGAATTGTTGACAACCAACGAGATGAAATTGTGCTTTAGCGATAACTCGGTAGCGAAATAGCGATGCAGGAATCCATTCAGTTATGTTTAGCCTTTTTTATATAAATTATGATAATGATCTGAAATAGTTATTTGCTCTTATGCTTCTATTCAGTTATGTTTAGCCATTTTTATTTAAATTAGAATAATAAAAAAGTATTATATGAAATTAACCTTTCATCTAAATTAAAACAATGATCTTTAAATAGTTATTTACTATTATACTTCCTTTCTTGCGTTAGGGTTGACACAATTATTTTTGGCAGTGCAGGCATCAACAATAGTTTGGCGATTTTTTACGGTCCTCAAAACGGAATAGTACCCAATTTTTATATTATGGTTATACAATATTGAGTTGTTATAACAGCATAGATCTGTCTACGGGAAGAATACATGTGATATATGAGCATATACAATGAAGAGCCAAAACATTATGACCACCTATTTCAACAATGCGTTGCACCATCTTTGGCCTACAAAACAGCTGCAGCTCACCTTTTCGTGGATGCCAGAAGTTCTTGGTTAGATGACCAGAGACAGGTTGTATCCCCAAACGTCTAAGCAGTGGTCACACTGTAAAGATTTATTTTATTCTAACCAATTATTTTTAGTTTGACTTTCCTGTCCCTCCTAATTTCCGTTTCCTGCCGGAATGTAAATTTGTTATGATGGAGAATTCAAATTTAAACGTGTTTCAGGAGAAGTATTTAATCTGCGTGTCAAGAGTTCAAAAAGAGTAGAAGTGAACTTAGTTACGATGTTTATCCTGCGAGTTTGAAACTAAGTAGGTGTTCGACATCTTTCAGTTTATATAGATATTTCTGGGCTCGGCTTTGCTGCATGCAGCCGATTTAGCATTAGTTAACCTAAGAGCCATTCGTTAACTATCTTGAGATAATGTGCATTTTACATTGTTATTTTCTGTTAATTTACTAGCTACAAATGATGGTGAATTGTGAGCACGAAGTGCGTGCATCTGTTTTAATTTAGGTTAAATAAAAAGGTCATTTAAATTTTTCTTTTGCAGTATTTATTCTTAAAGACATAGCTCGACTTCGCTACTTCGCCTTCGACGTAGAGTCAAAGTTATATGTTATCAAAGAAATTCCAAAGACTCGATAACACAAAATTAAGATATTCCAACATGGTGGTGTTTGCGTTCTGAACTGTTGCTCCATGACACATCAAATATGCTCTATCGAGATACAATTCCGCTGATTAGGTGGTCAGGACATTAAATCGAATTCATCCTTATGGTCCTTGAACCACTCTAACACTGTTCTGTCTTGTAAGATAGGGCGTAATCCTTTTGGAAGATTCCATTTCCAGTTGGGAAGACAGACGCCATGTAAGGGTGCAACTGATAAGCGGTTATGTTCAGATAGCCCGCAGCTTCCAAGCTGTGTTCTACCACAACTAAGGGTCCAAGAACTGCGAATACGAATGTCCCGCAAACAATAATAATGTTACCACCAGCCTGTATATAACTTGCTCTACAGGGGTAAGCACTTATTTGTCTGAAAGACGGCGTGCCCTGACACGACCTTCGACGTGATGAATGAGGACTTATGATTCCGGCAACTCTCTTCCACTTATCGATGATGTAGTCTCGATGTTCGTGGGCTCACTGTAAGCGTAGTTGACAACAGTGTCCGCTGAACTGTGCTCTTGTATCTGCATTGTACCGGACTATCAGCTGATCCAATGTCTGGCGCCGATTTTGCTGCACCGAGCAAGAGAGTCTCCGATGTCTTTTTTTCTTTGATGACGAGTGGACGTCAACTTTTTGGCGTCTAATTCGGGTTTCGCTGTCATTTAGCCACTTTGAATAATTACTAACAACGGTTTCACCGTCATTTATCTACTTTTGTATAAATGCTAACAACGACAGATCGTTAACAACCTCCCAATCGTACAGTTTCAGAGATACTCATTTCGAGTCTTTGGGGCATTACAGTCTGTCCTCTATCAAATTCGCTTAGATCAGTAGACCTTCCCATCACTCATAAAAGTAAGTGTATCGAATCGAACCAGAATACTCCTCGAATATCGCTCATAGCGCGACGTGTCCGGATTTATGCAATATATTACCATAAAGGCACATAACATAAACCCAACATTTCACATAAAGGAAGGGCTGGAGTGTATGTGAAGTAAGCAATCAATAAGTGCCGTTAAAATAAAACTGGCAGTGGTTTAAAGTGAGGAAATTTCCGTACAGTGTAAAAGAATACAATTCATAGCAAGTACAATGAAAGACAAAACAAGTGCAATTGAAGTAATGGAAAGGAAAATGTGAAAAATGACTAAATTAAAGAAAGATGTTTCCTTTCTAATCGAACCGAAGTGTAATATTCCACGAATATGCTAATGTGTCTGGATCAATGACACATATTGCTATACAGGCACGTAACATAAATGCAGTCATGATAAGTAGGGCCTGAAAGGGAGTAGCTACGAGTGGAGGCAAAGGGGGACATGAGGATCATAAATGACCCAACATCGCAAATAAGGAAGAACTGGAATTTGTATGAAAAGCAAATCAATACGTGTAGTAAAATTTAACTGGCAGGTGGTTTAAAGTAAGAAAATCTTCACATAGTTTAAAAGAACCCAATGCAAAACAATTACTATGGACGACAAAACAAATGCAAATGCAAAAATGGAAGCAAAATGTGTAAAATTACTATTATAGAAAGATCATCATCATCATCTAGTCACTTTTGCAGTGCGCGGCAGATGGCCTAAGATCATGGTCCTCTTCAAGCATTTTATAGTTGAAGAGATTAAATGAATTTAAGTATTCACATCCAAGTGCTTTACCTCAGAATTTTATGTCTTGTTACGATAGGTTTCAGTAGTGTCAAGTCTGAGATCTTCATGAAGTGTGGCATTACTAACATAGTAATCTGCATTAATGATAATGCGTAGGAAGAGATTTTGAATTTTCTGTAATTTCAGGAAATCGTTTCTTGTAACAGAGGTCCATGCAGGTGAAGCATAAAATTAAAATTGATCTGGTAATGGAGGTGTAAAACAAAACGTTTCTTCCTAAGATCGATACTTGAGTATTTTCCAACAATGGGAATTAGACTATTGATAACTTGTTTGCTTGGTTTTACATCTTATTAATAAGGTCATTCCATTAGAATTTAGAATTAAAAGTTATGCCGAAATATTTGGCAGACTTGACTAAAGGAATAGTTTTTCTGAATAGTGTAAGATAACCGAATAAGATTAGTCTGGGATTTTTTTCCATCTAATGATGAGTAATTGAGATTTCGTCGCATTGACAGCAATTCTCCATAAGGTGCACAATCTCTCGATAAACGGTACTTCATCTTGTAATTTTTTAATCGCATGGTTAACATTTGTAGATCTAGCCGCAAGCGCCGTACCTTCTCCAGCAGCAGTTAAATATCATTTCCACTTAATCACGTGCCCTCCACGTCATCCAAATGAATTCATTCAAACAAATATGGGGATGATCATGATGTTTTGGCTCGTCAATGTAGTGCGTATGAAAATATAAAATATTTTGTTTCTGTTGAACTTCAAATTTGTATGTTTCATCCTGAGACGGCAGTAAAAAGTACTAAATATCTATTCTTCAAGAAAAATATGTTGTCAGCTAAAGTTTTAGAATTTAAATTCTAGAGTGTCTGTATAGAGTACATACAGAAAGTCTATGTTCCCTATTTCTCACTATGTATGAGCTAAAAACAAGGATCACTGAAGATTTGAAATCCATCATGCCGGAAAATTTACCAGAGACTACTGCCTAGGCTTCTGTCATGTCATGTATTCTACTTAGTAACTTACGTTATTCTGCTTCGAAACCGGACAACTGTTCGTAGACACTGAGACAATGCTACAATTAACACAAAACTTGAAAATATATTTTTGATATTGTAATTTAAATATTAATATTAAAAATTATGTTTTCAACATTATCTCTTGCAGGTCGTGAAAATGATGGCTATTGTGGTAGCGCTGTTTGCACTCAGCTGGCTGCCCATTCAAATATTCAGTTTGTTGGTGTACTTCAGCCCTGAGACGGTGCTTCCTGTTTTAGACGAAGATTTCCCAGGCTTCGCTGCTGCTTTTCTTTGCTGCCATTGGCTCTCAATGGCTAATAGCTTTGTCAATCCGATTGTCTACTGTTTCATGAGCGACAACTTCAGGGTAAGTTTCTAGAGACATTAGGTATTTTTGGAAGCAGGAGTGATGTAAAATTAACAACGCCTTCGCCGGAAATCGAACCGCGGACCTCTGGAATACGCGCCCAGCATGCAGACCACCGACCCACGAAGGTATGCCAAGAAGGCGGGAGAAATACCTTATATACTTCCACTTTCAAAGCGCGAGTGAGGTTTTTAGGGGACCCAGTCGCCAAATCCTGAACGTGGAGAATCATCATCCGACACACTTTTAATATGGGCGCCACTGTAGAGACATTAGGTCATTTGGAAGCAAGCAAGATGAAAAATATGCAAACGCTTTCTCCGAAAATCGAGCCACGTAACTCTGGAGTACGCGCCCAGCGTGCAGACCACCACATCAAGAAGGCGGGAGAAATACCTTATAAGTTTACCAATTAAAAATATGCTTTCGTGCAAAATTATGTTTTGTCTAAATATGGCTAAGTTCCTAAAATAAAATTAAATAAGATCTGTAACTTACCGAAAGAAATTAACTGAAAAAATACATCAGTTTTTGAAGAGAACAGCTGCTATTATTAAGACAGAATTTTACTTTTAATTTAAAGCAGTATATGCGTATTATATGACACACACACACACACACACACAAAAAAAAAAAAAAAAAAAAAAGAGCAGATTATTAAAATTCTTTCAAAATTAAAATAGTGTAAAAATTATTTATATTAGTAAATCACGAACTGAAAAAGTCATGAGTAACTCATTGAAATTTTAATTATGAAATATTTCACTTTTTAGTTATTGTGAAGTATTTCTTTATACAATTATGCAAAAATTATACTCTTTTAATTTTTGAAGTAATATCTTTAGGTTTATGTAACATACATTATAAGGATAAAAGAACCAAAAATTGACGCAAGACCTTTCATGCAGAAAGGAATTAAACTGCATTAAATTTAGGGTTAGCATTTACTGAATTATTTTTGAATTAATATTTCTTAAATTTCGGAGTTTTAAATCCATTTCATTATGAAGAAACTTCAAAAGTTTCATTTATTCAACATTTTTAAGTAACCCAGTTTGAGTATTGTGACTTTTTGAAGCGTAATGAAATATGAAAAATACTTTATTTGATGAATTAAGAAATTGTGAATCAAATTATTGAATGGAAACGAGAGTGATTTGAATCAGATATTAAATATTTCTTTTAAAAATACTTTCTAAATATTTTTAATTACGTAAAGTTAGACTTGGAATAGGTTTCAGTCTTTGATCTTTTATTAACAAGCATCCATTTCAAAGAATTTATTTCTATCTTTCGGAAGAACTTTCCTTTTGAAGTTTCTCTGTTAAGTGTACGCTACTGAGAGGTTGCGAGTCTTCTGAAACAAATCTTTCCAGATACACTTTCTATGCATTTCTAAAAAGAAACGTGGAAAATATTTTTAGTTAGAAACATAAAACGATTGGTTAAATGGTTAAATCAAAGCACTCGAGGCTTGTCTCAAAGACATACTTTCACAACTTTTTCCAGCTACTTTTTGCCCCGGAATGGGATCAAAACCTCTTTTTGAGCTTTTATGGGAGTGCATAGGTGTCACTTTTCCCAAGATCCTGAACCACACTCCTAATTTTGCCATCGTAGAAAGCGTTTTAGTTAGTACTGATTATTCTTACAGTTTTGGTCATTGTATACGGTGTTACTGCGATGACTTTTCTTATGAACTTGAATTTGAAGGAAGAATAAATTTTCTTAAATGCACATCAGTTCCTGGTTAAAAGAAGCATTTCACTAAAAAGAACTTTTGAAATGCATTTTAAATATCCTTTATATGTCTTACAGATGTTTGAAAACTAAACAGAAAATATTTTTCGCCAAGTTCTAAAATGCCCAGAGCTTTATCAGCTGTCTTAATATTGTACAAATATCAGTATATTCATGATAATGTACTCATATTTGTAACTTTGTTAAGGAATTGCATTTTCGTGCAAAATTCATACTTTGTGAATGACGTCAAATATATATCTGATACATATTTAGCAATCTAAATGAATAACTAGATTATATTTTAATTTTCTCCTAGAACCTAGTTTATTATATCTATAGCAGATTCTTTCTGGGCAAAATAAAAATAATGTAATTTGCGTTTTCGAATATTCTATTTATTGCATACATTTATAAATCGTATTTTATACAATTCCATGTATTTAACTATCTAGCTATTTATATATGTATCTATACTCTCTACATATTTAATTTCATGATGATGCTTTATATTTGTGTGAACGAAACTGACGTAAAAACAAAACAAAACAAAATGACTACTAAGAAGGAGGCATGGAACTATTGGTTGCTGGATCGCTATGATGGGATGTTTGTGGAAACATAAGCAACCTTATTTATCCTATTAAAGAAGGCGTCAGTACAATACAGTATTACGTCACGAATACTAAGTTATTTCACGTACTTTATGAAATTTTTTTGGCTATTGGACACGAAAGATATGACAGAATATTGAACGGCCTTTCAACCAAATGCAAAACGTTACACGGAATGATATTGAACTGTACATTCACCTTTGTGAGGCTTGTCAGAAGAAAAACAAGATATTAAAAAGCACAGTGTTATGAAAACTGTGATTGTTTTCTGAATTGAATGCCCGTTATCATGTAGATCACACTGATTTCCAGCTTCAGCCAGATAGAGAACACACATTTATTTTGGTGTACCAAGCCATCTCATTAATTTTTATTACGTATTTTGAGTAAACGTTTTTTAAAGTCTTTGATTATTTTTTCAAAATAACATTTGTATTTTTGAAGAATGAACGTCTTTTAAGTAAAAGCCTTATCATGATCATTTTTTCAAACTTTGCCTAAAGAGTATTTGTTATTCGATAGAATACCTAGGTATTAAATATATAATAATTCTCAATTTCATACTTTGCCTGAAACCGCCAGGCATCCTCTAAAATGCCTATGTATTCTATATAATGCCGGGGTTTCATAAATTGCCAGTAACATATATATTTAATAAATATAGGCATAGATATATATACGGGGTGTTTCAGTAAATAGGTTACAAATTTTCAGGAGATATAAGAGTAACTTAGACTATGGAAAATAAAATAGCAATGCACGGTCGAAAAGGCTTTCCTGGTGCTGCAGGGACAACATAAAACTCAAGAAACGAACAACATGAACAGGGTGGGGAAATAGATTTATTATGCTTAGTACAGCAGAAATTTAAGAAATAAAAAAAAAACTGACAACGATTGTCATCAAAGAAGGTGTTAGAAATTACAGGAAAAAGATGCAGTTGAAGCTTTCGAGGCAAAAACAAATGCTGAAATACTTGGAAGAAAAGTTTCTTTTCATTTTTTTAGCTGCTTCACGCCCAAAGAAATGCAAGAAACGGGCCTGAAAGTATAAACGAAGAAAATTTCAACAGACTTCGAAGAAAAGGAAATAGCTGACACAGCAAGATGATGAAAAAGCTGCATTATGCATTGAAGCTCAACGAAACATTCCTCGTTTACAGCAGGAAAATATAACGTCGCAAACGTGCTCACAAATACAAACTTGGAGACAAAATGCCAATCCAGCATGGACTGAAACTTCGACTTGGACTTAAACTTCGTCCCAAATTCTTCGCTCCTTATGAGACAACGAAAATTCATCCATCTCATTATTACGAAGTACGAAAAATACGCCGTGAAGGTCCCATTATCATGTCAACCTCTGCTGATAAAATGAAACATTTGCCACCCAGACGTTGATATTTTTGCACTTTTTCTGCTTGTTTTTTTCTTTTCCTTTTCAGCGCATCATTCAAATTAATCATGCGATCTTACGTAACGCTTAATGCAGATACCTCTTGCCTAATCAAAGTACTTTGTAAACCAAAACTTTTTTTGCCTCCCTCCCTTATTCCTCTGAAGAAGTACTGCGACACTCTCTCTCTTCTCGTTTATACTTTCATCCTCGTAAGACGCTTCTGCTATTATTTTTGTTCGCTTTTATTGCCATAGTATCAAAAATGTTCTGGAAATAGGTACGATTGGAGTGCCAAGTGAATTGTGGCATCCAATGGGAATTTAAATAAATATGGAATTTAATCCGGCTCGTCTGCTTATTCTTCAAAATGGATGGACTTTCTAAGCATCAAGTATCTTCGCAATGAGCATTTCTACGTATCTATATCTGTGTTTCCAAAATTTGCGCTATCATTGCATTTTTTGGCCAGTTCTAATAAAGAAGAAATCTACACGAGCTTTTTATTCTGTGTTCACAGTGAATGATGAGAAAAGTCCTGTTTCACTGAAAGTTTTAATGCAAGTTTGTGCCGCATTCATAATCAAATCATTCATATCGTGTCATCAAACCTCAGTTTTTATACATATATATATATATATATATATATATATATATGGTATCGGACGCAGGTATGTTAGCTTTTTGGTTCATTAATTTTTCTTCACGAATACTTTGCCTTTTGGTCTTAACAGGACCTCTCTTTGTCGTGATTTTTTCATTAGGACAAAGTTTATATTTTTACACTAAGGGGCCTAACCCTTGAAATGATGTATATTAAATACTTGCAGGATTAACACTGTAAAATTTGCTTGTACATTTCGCTAACCAGGCTACTTTGTATAGGATTCTTTTACATCTTTTATATAATTTTTCCCCTTGTTTAGATCACAAGTTTTTTTCTTGTTTAAATTTTTTCGCTTTGATTTTTTTAAATTCACTTTATTGTTTTCAAACACGCAGGCCCGTCAGGAAAAGGGATAAATCTGTTGAGACATCGTTAGTAATATATGAATAAAAATTTAATAACTAGGAAAGCCGTTTTCAGTCTCAGTGGGTTTGTTCGACGAAACGTGCCTGTTTTGTTTTTGTGGGTCATCAACTTGGTTGAAGACTTCAGGCACTTTTCCTTTGATAAGTTCGGTTTGAAGCCTTGAACAGAGTAGATTGACCATGTTTTTATATGTAAAATTTCTCAGTATTATGTAAATTGTTAAGGCGTTTTCGCGTACCTATTTTGATCTTCTTGTATAGGTTTTCTAATTTTTTTTTTTTTTTTTGTATAATGTATAGGTTTCTTTCGTGTACAATTTATTGCTTTAACTTAGATTTTGTTTTTTTAACTTTGTTTTATTTGTACTATCAGGAATTTTGTAATTCAGATGTTCTTTACTTCTTAAGCTAATTTTTACCTCTCCTTTTCTTATCAATTTATATGTATTCAAAGTAATTTAATTAAAAGTAAATTTAAAAGCCCATGACTTGCGCTAAAGCTGCAAAGTAATAAACTAATATTTTATAATAAGAAAACTTTCCATATACCATCTCCAAGGAACACAAATCCAATTTAAAATTTTTAGTCTGAATCTAAATTAGTATTTTAAAAAGAAATTTTAACTTCTTTTTTAAAAATCTGCAAAGAAAAATCTTAAACCGCAAAAATACCAAAACCAAAAGTAAATTATAAATATTTGAAAAGCAGTTATTGTCATTGATCGCAGATTAATCGACTTATCAAGGGGATAAACTAATCTACCATCAATTAACAAAAACTAAATTAAGAGAGTGATTCATCTTACTTCCGAGTAAGCATCAAATTATTTGCTAGATTCACACCATAAGTCAAAATTAATACTCAATCCAAATAAAGACATTAGTCCATTTAAACAAAATTCCAAATAATATTAAAAGTTTCTATTAAGAGCACAATTAATTTGAACTAGACACTTATGTATATATATGTATGTGTGTGTGTGTACATGTCTGTGTAATATATAAAATGAAGTCGAGTATTTGTAATTGTCTTAAAAAAGGTCTTATAATAAATAAATAGATTTTTTTGAATCAATAACTGTCATTTATTTTCATATTAAAAGCTTCCTTAGTTCATTGCAATTAAGTCATACTTGTTTTCTACTTCCGATTTTGCCATTTTTCTTTCAGACTGATCTGAGACAGTTATTACTGTGTGGTAGGCGAAGAGTTAGATTGGATCCGAGAGCCTCCACAATGTTCACAGGTTCCACCACAGTTAAGAACTCCCAAGTAGCTCTACGTTCTCTGAAGCCATCTGAAGAAAAGATCTTGAGACGACCGCTCCGAGAAAGAACCTGGACATCCATGGGAGTACAGGATGAAAAGATGCATTACAAGAACTAATTTTGTTACGTAGTTTATGCATCTTTTATTTCTATTTTTATTTAATATTTATTGTGTCTGAAATATGTTGCCAATCTGATGCCATCAGACGTACTGAATGTTTTTGTATGTGAGGTGTGTCAAGTTCTCACACCTTGATTTTAATATGGAAATGTCATTATATCACGTGTCGCAGCGATTAAGGAATTAGACATCTTGACATCTATCAAACGTCTAAAAAGAGGTAACTTATTCAGTGAAGGCTTATTGTATCAAAAGCTCCAATAAAAAAGTTGATCATTGAAGAGTTAAAGCCAGTAATAATGCTATAACGAAATAACAAAAACATATTATTATTCAGTAAGGAAATGTTTTGAACAATTTTAGAGCATATTACCAATAGACTTGTCAATGTTGTGGGATTTCAGTGAAACGGAGATATAACAGCTACTAAAATAACAATAGTTTGAGCTTGAGAACTGTATAAAACTCACATTTTTCGAACCGTTCCATTTTCACTTCATTCTTCCTGTCCGTAAGAGGAAAACTGAGCTTTTATCAATCATTTGATGTCGCAATAGATTAACAGAGCGCGATGATCGAACGACGAGTGTTGTCACTTAACATTTTTTATGCAGACAGCTATTTAATGACATTAAGTTGAAAACTTGAGATCTAAAAGTTGTTTTTATTGCTGACAGAAGATTACGACGCGAGAAAGAATTATTGAATGCATATTTCGAAGCCAAAAGGTTGAATTAAGCAAGTTAGTTAAACAAAGCTGAAAGTTAACTACTTGGTGCCATATAAGGATATAAACTTCGTTTCTTCGAAAATTAATTAGCGAAGATTCTGGATGTTCGCTTTTTGTCATCAGGTAAAGCAAACACGTTACTTTTTTTTTTATAATGCGTTACACAAAAAATGAAAGAGTGTCAGCGAAGTAAGCGTTACATGTGGATTAATTTTAGCTCGATTAAAATATTATGTCCGTTGTCTTGTAAAAAAATATGTGTTAAATGTTAATAACGTTATTGGTGCTGACATGTGTGAAACTTAAAAGCCCTACATTGGTAAGGCTTAATTTTAAAATACAGTATCACTATTATATGAACTAATATACCTTTATGGAGTGTTTCCCTACGCACAGAGTTTCTCTGTTGACTATAAATAATTTTACTGCATGTTTGGTGGAAATGATATTCATCGTTTTGTGGAAACTTTAAATGTTACATGTAATAAATAACATTAATGTCTCAATGCTTCGCTTATATTTAATCCTTAAATGCAGTATAATTTATATTTTATTTAAATAAAATTATAGTACTAATCCAAAGTAATAATTGCATTTTCTTTATTTTCGTTCAAGGATTTTGTTTATTATGAAATAATGTTATATTCATAATCATATTGAAAAATGTACACGTATAATTTTTTATAATTCTATTTTCGAATGAAGAAATTTTAATTCAGGCTATCAATAGCAACTTAATAAGAAGTCTATAGCTTAGAGCAGGTAACTCCCGTATAACACGGCATGATTTTCTGTGGCAATTTTAAAGACATGAGAAAACCCCTATTATGAAAAGAAAATAAGGTATGCCAATAAGATAATATTCCAATAAAATTATACTTAAAAAGATTTTCATAAAATGATATTCTAATAAGATTCCAGAGAAGTGTTATTGAATTAAAATTCTAATTCAAAGCCAAATTATGCAAATAAGGGCCCAAGATAGCCATTAGACCTAATATGTTAAATTGTCACCTACGATTTTTATGAGTAAACATTTTCTTTAGTTCTGAAAACTTCAGAAAAAGCTAGCAATACACAATCTAGTACTCATCTGTAATTCCTCAAGTTCCGTTTCTTCATGCATTCATTCGTAAAAGTTAAGTTGTATATAATCATAACGTCTCATTTTGACAGAGTGGGTATCTCATATATTTAGAGAAATGTTTTTACTTCATTGTACGAATTTCAACGGAAAGTAAAGGAAAAACCGTCTGTACGTACGTAGGTATGTATGTATCTCGCATTAACTCAAAAACGAGGCGCCTCAGAACGTTGCAATTTGTATATTGGATTCCTATAACATGTAGTTGTGCACCTCCCGTTTTGGTTCCAATCGGCTGCACAATATATATATATATGTAAGATACCAATTGTGTGAATCAAAATTATAATTTAAACTAACGGTAAAACTTTAATTCTCCCTCTGTTTTCTAAAAATCGTAATACCTTCTCTGGATTCCGTCATTTCTAGATCATTCCATTTTGCATGACCTGAGCAGCGCTGATGATGTAATAATTGGGAACTGAAACTTTTAACACAAACCAAAGCTTTTCTCTTCGTATGCCTCCATATTGCATAACTACACACTTCAGCTTCTCTCTCTATGCTGCTAGGACGTAATTTCTCTGTACTTTCTTCCTATCGCAAAAGTATAAAAAATGTAAATGTTCTGTGAATAGGCACGACTAGAGTGACCACAAATAAGAGTCTCAAATAAAAATGGAATTCAAACTGCCTCGACGGCCAAGTTTTTTAGATATTATTAAGTCAACATTATTAGCATAGTACGCAATTAGAAGTCTTCCTCTTCAATATGGTTCTGCGACCTATCCCATTTAAATATTCCGCTTCAACACTTCTGTCTTTTTCTTGTTATTATTACACACACACACACACACACACAGATGTACATATATATATGCATATACCCACTCTGTCACTTGACTCAGTGAGCTCAGCAATTTTTTTATTCTTATCTGTTGGTGAATTATGCATTTTTTGCTCTAAAAAGGATTGAATTATATTGTTCTGATCTTCCGGTTAAGGTTTTTATGCCTTTAGCAAATCTGCGTGCAATGGTTGTAGAATTATCAACAATTTAAAAGTTTTTTAATTGTGGCTAAGCCAATTTTTTAACATAGCAACTATATTTGTTTACATTTAAAACTTGTCAGAATAGTGAATTAATTCTTTCTGCACTTTCAGTGTCTTTTTGCCGAGTGGAAAAAAAAAAAGGAAACTTTTTAGTTTTGTACAGCGAAAAATCTGCCTTCTTGCATGCTGGCCAAATTGCTTGTTTTTTAGTAGAAGCTGTATTTCAAATTGCAATTTTTTAAAATTGTTTTAACTGTATTTAGTGTTTTATGTTTTTCTATATCTTTAAATTTTTAAGGAAAATATTTTGTGTTTTTATGTATTTTTGCTTTGCCGCGAAGTGAGAAGTGAATTAATTGAATGAGAAATATATCGTTAATGGAATTTGAGGAAATACGTTAAACGAAATGCAGGAAAAATGTATAAAATTTAATATTCCGTGTAGGAAATCATGTAGTGTACACATCAGGTCTTTTGTACTTGTTCTCAGTTTCATATAACAAGAATTCTCCTCAGATTGAAATTTCAAGAGATTAGTAACCGTGTTATACAAAAGTTACGTTTTCAGCAGTTGATTTTCAATTTATTATTTTGCAGTTTAGTTGCCATTCTAAAGTACAGAATTGCTAAGATTATGCTTTAAACAAAGATTGTTAAGATTTATGCTTGTAAAAAATATAGAATATTCATTTCGTAACTAAAGCATGAAATTTATTTATTTAATAAAAGTGATTTGAATCTGCAAAATTTTTATCATGAATTTATTTAAGAAAGTGTGATGTTTTTGGGTATTGCCGTAAATTATTTTTTATTGTACTCAAAGTCATATTTTATTACTGGAATTGTGCTATCAGTTCATATCATACTTATTTATGTCTGCCAATGAAATTTGTTATTAGGATATTTTACTAATGTATCTCATTGTACTTTTTGAAATTTTCATTTTCTTGGAATTCATAAATATTAAAAAATTATTGTTCTTGCTTTCTGATTCTTTTGAGCACTTTTAAAGTACATTTCTTCATTTTCCAAGGACAAACATGGAAATGCTCTTTCTATTAAATTTAAAAGCGAGATATATTCATTTTAGTAAACAAGTAAACAGGAATCTAAATTTGCGTAAGGTAGTTAATGATCATTCAGACATTCAAATAAACATGACATTTTATGAAATAAATCTTTAATTTAATGTCTGGTGTTATGAATTTCATAAATTGAACAAGTGCAATTTTCAGATGGGAAGTGTAACCTTTCGGAAAACTGAATAACTTATGTAGTTTGAAATGCCTTCACGAGAAGCAAGTTTATCTTATAACGATAGCACTGATATATAAAATTCTGAAGCTATTAATGAATAATCATCCAAAGCACACAATTTGTTTGATATGTTAATATTCATAATATTTGGCAGCATGTATACTCTACACACATACACAATATATATGTTACGCTGAAACACCGAAATCTGGAGAATGTCGACTTTCACGGGTGAATGTCAACATTCACATAGTCTCTTGGTCTATGTCCGAAATATTTTCCAAATACTCTTATTTTTTGACTTACACCGGTCAATGTCGACATTCACCATGTACTAATGGTGAATGTTGAACATATAACAATATTATATTTTCCTCTCCGTAATTCAGTCGCGAATAAACGCACTTGAGACTTGAAATAAGAACATGAGAACCTAAAACACACAATACACTCAAAATGAGAAAGGAAAAGAATAGAAGTTAAAAACTTCCTAAATTATACAGTACGTTCTAAATGAGAAAATAAAATAACATTAATAAAATACTTACTAAATTATGTGATTCAAATCTTATTTATTGCAACAACTTAAACTATTATGGCACTTTATGACCTCTCTTTTCGACTTACACCAAAGCATATCTGTGATTGTTGACATACACCGGTGAGGTCCGAATATAAAAGAATGTAGTGAATATTCGATCTTTCACCAACGTATTTGGTGAATGTTAACATTCTCCGGTGAAAGTCGACATTCTCCAATTTCGGTGTTTCACGGTAACATATGTTATACACTGACTACCAATAAGTATTTGGACACCTGTGATAGAAAAGAAAAACTAACTTTATTCAAAACCAATAGTTGGTAGAGCCTCCACGAGAGGTAGTTACAGCGCGGATCCTCCGGGGCATACTTTCCATAAGTCTTTGTATGACAGCTAGTTTCCACTCGGCTCGGAGAAGACATATAAGTTCCTTCACCGATTTTGCACGGGTAGTGCACCCCTGAATTCGGCGATGCAACACGTCCCAGAGGTTCTCGATAGGGTTCAGGTCTGGACTCTAGGCAGGCTAGTCCATTTGATGAACTCCATTGGCACCATACCAAGCCTTGGTTAACGTCGAAACATGACAACTGACATTGTCGTCCTGAAAATAACAGGGGTCCAACCCGTGAAACTGCCACAACGTAGGAAGCACATTGTCATCCAAAATAGTGCAGTAGCCATCGGAGTTGAGCTTACCATGAATGGGGACCAAGGGTCCCAGCCCATACAAGGAGAAATACCCCCAGACCATAATTCCACCTCCGCCGAACTTGACTTTTGGCACAATGCATTCTGGCAGGAGACGTTCTCCAGGTAGACGCCAGATCCAGACCCTGCCATTCGAACGGTGAAGGGTGAACTTTGATTCGCCACTCCAAAGAACCCGTTTCCACTGATCTATGGTCCAATTTCGATGTGCTTTGCACCACATTAACCGAGCAGCGCGGTTGGACTTCTGATCAAAGGCTTATGGGCAGCAGACGACATGAAAACCAAGCAGATGTGCTTCCTTACGGATGGTATTCATTGAAAACATACTCCCGGATGCCTGTTGAAACTCCTCGCGGATGAAGGCATCGGTTGGGTACGGTTCTTCTGAATTTTCAGAGACAGCACTCGTCGGTCTCTATCTCCCAGTTGTTCGTTGGTCTGCCGATCGGGACACATTCCGACATCAAACGCTCACTTCCACTTTTTAATCATAGGCCACTGTCGATTTTGGGTACTTCAGATCGCTAGATATTGTCCTTTAAGGATCAGCCACATTTGTGATACCATAATTATACCTTTCTCGAAATCAGAGAGCTCCGAAATGCGAGGCATCTTGCATGCGACTAAAGCCGATGCTGTTTCCTACACGATATATACCGGCGGAGTCCGTGACGTACCTTAGGACTGCAGATATCGTCATTTGCACAGGTGTCCAAATACTTATTGGTAGTCAGTGTATATAAATTCTGAAAGCTTTCAGATTTTACATTTCAGATTTACGCCCAAAGGGACTTTTTTTTAACACTTTCTGTGTTACCTTTATTTGTTAAATATCATGCTCTTCGTACTTAAACCATAAAATTAAGTTCATCAGCAATATTGCAAAATAATTTTAAAATTAGCATATCTTGACAATTTCCGATAAACAGTCTCGCGCGCTAGAGATTTGTTTTTAAAGTTTTTTTAGTTGCCATCGCTTGCTTCGAAATCAAGTTTGTTAATCAAAAATTCGTTATTATAAAATATGAAATCGATAATAAAAAAGTTCCAAATTAGGCCTTCCAGATGTGCAGATTCGGTGCAGGATTACGTTATTCAAAATTGGATCGCTCTAAGTGCCGTTGTTTTATCACAATGCGAGAAACATACATGCATTTATGCAGATTCTTCATTATTTAATTTCTTTAAATATAATGCAGGGTGCGAATATTTGTTAGCAATAATTTGAAGTGAACCGACATTTCAACGCAAAATGCCAAAACGAAATTAATAGTCCTTCTGGGCAAATTGCTCCTTTGGTCTATTAAATAAGTAAAATAAAATAAAAAAGGAACACTTCTATATCTCTCGTTTTACGGGGCCGACTGACGAAATTTAACCTGCATTTTTCATGTCTCGAAAGTGTAACTTAGGATATATATTAGATTCATATATAGCACTGTTCTAACATAAGTTATTTAACACAAAATCGAACTCTTTCCAAAATGATATGCAATGTTTTCTACATATTCCTTATTTCCACTCAAATTATGCCTAAATATTAAATTTTGTAAAATTTCGAGAGAAATTTACTTTGGCATACTTTTTTTCACTTTGCTCCAAAAATAATTCACTTCGCGAAATTCTTAACCACATTTGTGCGTAAAACATATTTGGCATTATTATTGCTTATAACAAATGTGCCAAATTTCGAAACTCGCCAGTATATAAATTCACGTAT